GCTGGCTGGAGAATTCTGGGAGTTGAAGTCCACAAGTCTTAAAGTTGCCAAGGTTGGAGACCTCTGCTGTAGGAGATGGGCTTCCAGGCTCCAAGTCACAAAGGAGTATAAAATTAATAACCAGCACCCTGAATTATGCCTGGAAAAGAACTGAGGACCAATTCAGCTGCTCCTGGAGGATGAGTGTATATGGAGAAAGTTAGGGATATGTGCACCAATTTTTTTTTTCTTTAGGTAGAATTCATCCTAAGCTGCTAAAGGCAGTATACCCTGATGCACATTAGAAAAAACCTCTTTGGGTGAGATTTGAAGGGAGAGAATAAGCAAGGTTGCATTCTGCATTAAGAACACAATACAGGTAGTCCTCAACTTATGACCAAATTTGAGCCCAAAATGTCTGTGAGACATTTGTTAAGTGAGTTTTACCCCATTTGACGACTTTTCTTGTCGCAGTTGTTAAGTGAGTCACTTCAGGTGTTAAGTTAGCAACATGATTAAGTGAATCTAGCTTTCCCATTGACTGCTTTTCAGAAGGTTGCACATGACCCTGTGAAGTTGCAGTCAGTGGCCAAGCGTCTGAAATTTGATCACATGACCATGGGGATGTTGTAATAGTTGTAAATGTGAAAAATGGTGATAAGTCACATTTTCAGTGCCGTTGTAACTTTGAATGGTCACTAAATGAACTGTTGTAGTCAAGGATTACCTGTAATTAATTTATGAAATAGGAAACCATCTGCTTTCAAATACAAAAATAAAGCAAGAAGGGTCGTATTCTATTGCTCTCCTGTGTAGGGAGATCCAGCCAAAACATATCGGCAATAACAATGTGGGCAGCTTTGGTGAACAACAGTCCTTTTCCATCATATTACTATGTACAATCTGAAACAGATGACAAAAATTAGTTAAAATATGTGCCATAATAAGTCTGTTAATGTTTCAGATACCATAACTGTTGGTTGTTCTTTTAGCAACAGAACATTGAAAAAACTTCCATCGACACTACACATTTAAAATAATTGTTCATGAGCTTGAATGTTGTGGTAAACTGATGCTGCAACAGATCTGAATAATGGTTTGTCATCAGAGCTGCATTTGGGATTAGAGGAAAATAAATGCTGAACAAGCTCCATGTAAATTCTTTAGGCACTGTTGTTTAACACTGCTCCAGTTTTAACTTGCTGTAGATTCTACTATAGCTTCCGGTTTATTACTTCCCTTAGTCTTGACAGATGATCTAATTAAAAGCTGCACAAAAAGCATTCCATGCAGTTTCTGCTGTTGCAGATTGAGTGTAATTGGTGGGAATTTTTCTGGACCAAACAGGAGCATTAGACATTTGGAAAAACCTATAACAGCCGTTCTTCAGGCATAACCATATAAAACACATCCAGCCCTAATCACCGATTCCAAACATTGGCTGTTCTCCCAGTCTTGATGAAAACTAGTTAATAATCCCCCCCCCCCCCATTAAATAGTGGCAACCAGATGCCAGTTCTCCATAACTGAAAAGTTACTTCATCCTGGATTCAAAGACGTTTAACAATCATTTTTAAAAACTTCATAATTAAAGTCCAAATGAAGTGAAACATTCCAAGATTTAGATGTTGTAGCTCTCTTTTAGACATGAAATAAGAAGGAGTGATTAATTAGAATCTTCCTAGGGATGCATAATAGAGTGAAAGCAAAATTGATAAAAATATGAAATTTACTATAGCTGACTAAAAATGAGCCAAAGCAGAAATGGAGAACAGGGATATAAAAATAGGATGGAGGTAGTGGAAGAGGAAGAGACTGAGTAGAAAAATGCTTTAAAATGAAATATTTAAAAAAAGCCTGGAAACAAATGCAAATAAGCCTAAATCTATTCCTAACTGTATGCCAGCTTTTTTTTTTTTTTTAAAGCAACATGTATTGTTATTTAAAAATGGCAAGTGCTCAAAAACCTGCCTGCAAAACTTGTCTGTTATTATATCTGGAGGCGTGCAAGATATACTAAACAGTTGCAATTATATATACAACCTGGGCAATCTGGGAATTGGGATTTGAATGTTGATGTAGAGAAAATAGAGGAGGAAGAGAGTCTGATCAGGCTTATATAGAGGGTGTCCAGCATGGATAATTACTGCTTTTGTGAAGTTCCTTCTTAAATTTTCCTCCTCCTCTTTAGCATTATTATAAAGTGAGTTTGTTTACAAATGATGTCAGTGTTGGTACATATTGATCATCCATTCAGTTTAACCCAGTGGTTCCCAAAGTGGGCAGTACCGCCCCCTTAGGGGAGCACTAAGAGGCAAGGGGGCTGGCAGGGGGACGCTAAGAGGCATCAGGGGGCGTTCGAGGCGCCGGCCCTGCAGGTTCACCCATTGACTAGCACTGCTCCAGAACTGGCGCCTTCAATGCGGTGGCACATTACGTGCTGCCACGGCCGTGTTCGATGCACCACCCCCTGCTGCCTCTTAGCGCCCCTGTGCTGGCCCCCTTGGGGATGCTAAGAGGTGGCAGGAGGGCATTCGAGGCGCCAGTCCTGCAGGTTCACCCATTGACTGTAGCACCGCTCCGGAGCCGGCGCCTCCAATGTGGAAGCGGTGGCACGTTATGTGCCACCGCGGCAGTGTTTAATGCACCGTCCCCCTGCCATCTCTTAGTGTCCCCAAGGGGGCCGGCAGAGGGGCGCTAAGAGGCGGCAGGGGGGCAGGGGGGCAGCGCGTCAAATGTGGCCATGGTGGCATGTAACGTGCCACCGCTTCCATCCAAAAGGTCTGTCTGTTTGCCTGCCTGCCTTCTTGCCTACCTACCTGCCTGCCTGCCTGCCTGCCTGCCTGCCTGCCTATCTGTATCTCTCTCTCTATCCATCCATCCATCCATGTTCGAAGCGCCGGCCCCGCAGGCACATCGGGAAAGTAGAGCAAAGCCAGTTTGAGAGGGAGGGAGGGAACGAAGGAGGGAGGGAAGGAGGGAGGGAGAGAGAGAGAGAGAGAGAGAAAGAGAGAGACCTGATGCATCAGATTGAATGAGGCCTAGTTTAGACTGAGGCCCTTTTCCACATTGAAACATCTTAGGTTTCTATTAAAGGTTTTGTGGACGAAACTTGGTCAAGACTATCAGGAAGCTCTCACATTTTGTTGAGGCTTTAAACAGGATCCATTGGCCCAGATCTCCACCCTAAAAATTACTTTTCCCCAATGTATTACAGTGCCAATTCTGAAGAAAGCAAAACCAAAATGTACTGGTAAATTACAAGGAGAACACACACACACACACACTCCCTTCTAACGCTACTGGAGCAGGTGATTGGACTAGAATAGATATCTCATTATCTTTCTCCTCCCTCCCTCCTTCTTTATTTCTTTTTCTTTCTGTCCCTTCCTTCCATCTCCCCCTTTCTTTGTCCCTTTTTCTTTCTTTCCATTTTCTCTTTCTTTTCTTCCTCTCTTCCTCTCTTTCTTTTCTCTCTCTCTTTCCCTCTCAGGCTCATCCCTTTGGATCAGGGGTCATCAAACTTTTGGACCTCAGGGACCACCAAACTCATAATTTTAAATCCCAGAGACCACTAATATGAATTTTGACTGACAGTGGCTTTCTGGCATTGGTGGGAGAGAGAGAGATCTGATCCAACCTCTCTCTCTCCCTTTCTCTCTCACACACAGGCAGGGGTGGGATTTAGACCCCTGATCTAAAGCTGTCAAAACTCCAAAAACAGGTCAAGTAGCTCTGGGGAGGCCAGTCATAAATTAGAACACTAGCTAAACAACCGGTCATTAAGTGAGGACCACTTGTATTTGGTTTGCCAGTCACCTGGCCACGCCCACCCAGTCACATGACCAGCAAGCCACACCCACCCAGTCATGTGACCAGCAAACCACACCCTCAAATTATGCCACAACCACAGAAATTTGAATCCCACCCCTGGGTGGGGGGCACCGAGGATGAGTTTGTAGCACCAAGGGGGCACTGGACCGAAAAAGTTTGGGAACCACTGGTTTAACCATTCAACCTCTAACCATATGCCCTCCAAATGCATTGGAACTATAATTCCCAGAATTCCTCATCAGTATCTATTTATATAATCACTATATAAAAACAGCTTGATAGCACATAAATCACCATGCTGAGTGCACATCCTGTGTGTTGGGTTTGGGCTTCGTCTGGAGGGCATCACTTTGGGAAGTCTGCACTGTAGCATTGCATGTAGCTTTTTGCCATACAGAATTTTTTTTTGCCATACAGAATTTTTCTTCTAAATGGCATCCACCCATTGCACCAACATATAGACTAAGCTTTATATTAGATGCTAGGATAAAATGTGTTTGGTTAGTTTGTAACTCAGAATGATATATGAACACAGGCAGTTATGGTAACTCAGTAAATGGTGGATTATTAGTTACCCATGCATTAGCCAGTCATAAACACAACTATAATAGAAACCTATGAAAACAGGATTAAAGTACATTGTTGGATGCTTATTATTTCTGTGTTTCTCTGATATGCCTCACATGCTTTGGACTGATAATAAAAAATTGATTACATGACTGAGACATATCTTGCTTCCCTTTCTACAGGAGGTTTAGGAACATTCCATGGTTTGCTCAACTGTATGGTTCATGTGATCATGTACACCTACTACGGACTTTGTACGCTGGGGCCAGCATTCCATAAGCACCTGTGGTGGAAAAAATATATGACAACTATACAACTGGTAAGGAACTTTGAAAAGAGGTACAGAAAAAATAGGCTTAGATTTGAATGATTTATACTTACAAAAGATAAACAGGCACATTATCAAGTTATGAGCTAGCTAAATATATCATGTTTTCCACTTGATTGCTTCCCTACAGCCTGAGTTTTCTTAAAAAGATGATTACATAGTGAGTGTAAGATTGTCTGTATTAACAGATGCTATTTATTAGTGATTCTGGGTATCTAACAAAGATTAAAAACAATATTAAAAATGATACAATAAAGCAATGAAATGAAACATGCTGGGAAAGGCAAAAGATTCATATAATTACAATAGCGTCATATACTATCATGGGGTAGCACAGTGTAAAAACCCAGTGTAAAAAGAGCTTTCTTAAAGGCCATTAGGGTCAGAACTATCAAAATTTTAGGAGAAGGATGCTGCTCCGTGTTATTTTAATTTAATACATATGAGTCCTGATATTTTACACCCAAGTGCTTTTAGAAGGATGTAGTTTATCATTTGGCTGACTGCCTGAGCAGATGGGAGCGTGTTGCCAAACTTGCCTGGATTCCACAGCTAAGTGGGGGAAGCCTTGTTTGTGAATATGATAAAATGGGTGGATGGATGGGCTCTCCAGGAAAGAAGAAACATAAGGAAATTGAAAAAAATCCTGTGAAATACGGTGTTTCATATTAGGATCATGATTTATGCACGGAGTCTCCAAAACTTGAAGGAGAAATGCATATTTTTTTCTGAGAATGCATCCAACGTAAAGCATATCTCCCTTTAATATAGTATGTGAATCAACAATACATTAATATTCTCTGAAGTTCCTATATAGAAGATCCTTTTGTATAGCCCTTTGGTTATTCCTAAGGTGAACCTCTTTTCATATATTAATCATCGTAGTTATAAATCCATCCTGGTAAACTTGAATCTTTTAATCCATTTTAAAATATTTCCATAAAATATTTTGAATTCAGTTATCTTTCGAAGAAAACATTGCTAGAAAGAAATTTAAAGTCTAGACAATTGGTATAATCCCTAGCATATGGAAATGCTAGTTTTAATAGAGAAATGAGGAAAAGAATAACCATTATTTATAAATGTTGATTAATTATGAAAAAAACACAATGATCATTTATGCCTTCTGCATAATGGCATCAGTATTGCAAATAAAACAAATTACACAAAAAGGTTAGATGTAGTCCAAAAATGTCATTCAAGTTTTACTATGTTCCTAAGAATCTTTTCATCTTTACTACCAAGAAAAGGTTGCTTTACTTTGAACATAACTATTTTTAAATGTAGTGTATTACAGAGCCATGGTGGCACAGTGGTTAGAATGCATTACTGCAGGCTAACTTGCTGCTCATTCTAGGAGTTCAATTTTGAGCAGCTCAAGGTTGACTCGGCCTTCCATCCTTCTGAGGTGGGTAAAATGAGGACCCAGATTGTTGGGGGCAATATGCTGACTCTGTAAACCAGTTAGAGAGGACTGTACAGCACTGTGAAACAGTATATAAGTCTAAGTGCTATTGCTATTACAAACAAGCATGGAGAACATTTCCTTTTTGTAGAGTCATCTACAGGAGGGGTCACCAACCTTTTGGACCTCAGAGACCACCAAACTCATAATTTTAAATCCTGTGGACCAGACACCCTGGTAAAATCCCCCAAAAAGTCTGCAGGAAAATTCCCCACCCCATTTTCCTACCGATCGATCATTCTTTATTTGGGATCGCGGGATACCGTCTCCAGCTCCGTTCTCAGGGGGAAAGAGAGAGAGAGAGAGAGAGAGAGACTGAGACTTTTGGCTTCATGCAAGGAAAGCAGCAGCAGCAGAAGTCTTTGTCTCCCCCAAACTCAGCCAGAAATGAGTCTTTGTGAGACTTGTCGCACCGGTGCAGCCTCTTGGAACAGGATGCCTTGCAGGGTCCCAAAGAGTCATTTCCGGTGGAGTTTGGGGAAGAGAATGACTTTTGCTGCTTTCCTTGCATGCAGCCAAAAGCAGAAGAAAGAAGCTAAAAGAAGCAACCTGGTGGCCAGGCAAGGCAAGTTCCCCCCCTCCGTCCTTTCCCCTCACTACATGTTGTTCGCAATGCAAGCGACACAGCCTTGTGTTCCTGCACAGCCTGGATTAATTGCTTTGGGGGGTGCTTTGGGGGTAACATTTCTCTGCAGACCACGAAAATTTTCTCACGGACCACCAGTGGTCCCCAGTCCACTGGTTGGCAACCACTGATCTACAGTATTGCAAGCTGTATTGTGGACAGAGCTGAAGCAAGCAGTAGGTGGAACCAGAGTCCAAAATGCACAAGGACAGGGCAGTTTGTGATAGTGGTGGAGAGCCAAAAATGGGCTGAGTGAAGGTGTGCCCCTTTGATGCAAATAGATGTGGCTTTAGTCACACCTACTCACCACTTGTTTGCCCCATCCCACAAATGCTCCAGATGAGAAAACTGTTCTCTTGTTGGCATTTTCCTTTCTCTTCCTGATGCCCTCTTCTGTTCAACTGTTGGGGGCAGAAGGGGCAGAAACTACTTACCTCTGCTCTAAAATGATTTTGTGAACATGTCCTGAAATGTAGGTGTTATGGAATTATTTGGATTGCAATTTCCTTCTTAGCTCTGTCTTAATTATTCTTTGCTTGATTTAAAAGTAGTATCTTTTTAACAATATATTTAATAAATTCCAAAAACATTAAAATACAAGCTAACATAAAGGAAAAAGAGGACAAGTTAAAAAGTAACAAAAAATATCAATTCAATATATAACAAAAATGGCCTCCAAAAATGGCCTTTTAAGGCACAGATAATATAACAAACCTAAGTTTCAATGAATACCAATATTTAAAATAACTGAACATAATAATCAAAATTCTAAAAAATCAATATTCATCATATATTCTCTAAATTTTAATCTAACTTGTAATAAATTGCCAAATATGAGTAACCATGTATTCAAAACCCATATTTCTTTAGATAGTTTATATCTAGTTTCAGGTCCTAAGTCAAAAAGTAAAATTTCTTCTTCTCTTGTAAGAAATCTAAATGAAGTAATTTTTTTTCCAGGTGCAGTTCTTGTTGATTACACTTCATATAGGACAAATCTACCTCACGGGTAGTTGTCAGTACCAGTATCCTATTTTCATGTTCATCATTTGGCTCTATGGATTCTTGTTTTTAATCCTGTTTCTACATTTTTGGTATAATGCTTATACTAAGGGTCAGCGGCTCCCAAAACATTTGCAAAATGGCGTTAGAAACAAAAATGAATGAAGGACTCAGTGACAAAACAAGATCTTCAACATGCAGCACTTGACAATCAAGAGGCTTCAGCACACAGGACACTGGGTATTTTGTATATGGATTTCCAAGGACAAGAAAATATATTTTATTATAAATTATTTGGAATTTGAATTTGATGTGAGGAGAAATAAAAACTACCTAGTACAACCTGCAACTTTCAGCAAAAAAGTACATATTGTGAAAATATATGCATTAAACTACAATTTAGCAGCACTCCTAAATGCTTATGTATCTTCATTATACAAATGAAGTGTGTTTGATAAGTATACAACAATACTTTGAGCACTGATGAGGATATATTCGTTTTAACTGGGTCACAACTTCTTTAGGCTGCTTTTAACTGAAATGGAAAAGTTTAATGGATGACACAATTGTATGACATGGATGACATATTGTTAATATATCTATCAACTTTGTTTTATACATACTGTCCCACTGTATATTAAAAACTATGATTCATAAGTCTTCAACTCTGATTTTTTTTAAATTAAAGTTTTATTTGGGTTTTCACACACACAAAAAACATAATACAAGTAAAACATCTTTTTTGAAAATAGCATGGTCTCGGGTTACACTTCTTTATACAGACACAAACTCAATTTCATGCTCATTTTTGTGTTCTATTCCATATCTTATTACTATTTTGCATTAACTATGTAGTTTTTCCCCCTCTTTTTAATTTTCTCAACTTTATTTTGATTATCTCATCTCAATTCAAATCATTATATTTATACTTTTGTCTGTCCTGTTTCAATTTCATATCTTTTCTCATTAAACAAATTTTCTCCTGTAGTTACTAATTGGAGTATGACACCTTTATATCTTTTAATTTTATCCATTCAACTCTTATTTAAACTTCAATATATACCTTAAGGTTGTAACATTCAATGTAATACATAATACATAACTTCCAATCGACCTGCTTGGTACTGCTTGGTATTCTTATAATACACACTATATTCTTAAAAAAAGGATTATAAATATATGTAATTAAAACCCTCATTCCATTCCAATTCAGTTCTATCATTAATATTCATTAAAGTCTTAACATCTTTAACATTTCTTTTCAATTAAATATCATGCTTCCTTGAAGACATGTATAATCTCCATAATTAATTTTTCCCTTATTTCTCTTCATGTTTTATAAATCGTTAAGTATTCATTTTATTATATTTATTTATTGACAAACATTCCACTAAATTATGATAACTATTTTATCAAACATTTTAACCATAGTTTCATATTTTCTGAAATTATTTCTATTTCTAATATAACAATACTATCTTATGTACCTTTACAGAATCCCTTTTTCAATTAGATTTTCACCCATTATCTCTAAATAGGCCCTGTTTCTCTATATCTTGTTTCTGTCCATTATAACTTCTTTTCCTTTCTTTCTTCCCTCTCTTCTTCTCCCTCCCCTTTTTACCCCCTTGTCTCTCTACTTCTAATTCTCTCTTTTGCATTTCCCTCTTCTGTTGCTTTCTGGCTTTATACTTTATTTTTCAATCTATTCTTTTTTGGGGTTGTTTTTCCCAGTCTTAAACTTTCCGTTCTCTTTCCCCCCTTTCCTTTTTCCCCCCACCTAAGATTACTTGTTCCTTAAAGATGGCTTCTTCTTTGTCCCAATCTTCTTGTTCTGCTTGACTTCCGGTTTGAGCGTCTTCGGCGACAGACCAAAACCGAGACTCTGCGCAGTTTCGATCCATGCTCGCTGCTGAAGCGCCCCGAGCCGGCTGGTTTCGGGGCTAAGCCACCCTGTAGAGGTGGTGAAGAAGGGGGAGACTGCCTGCAGGGTTGAGGAGAGCCGCATCTCTCCTCCTCAGCTGGCCATTACTCCCTTTCCCGAGGGCGGTTGTAGCGGTGGTCAGAAATGGCCACCCCAAAGAAGAACTCAACCAGAAAAGAATGTACAGGAGGAAGATAAGAAGAGAAAGTTTTGGTTGACCGGGTCAAACAGCAAAAGCAACAAATAAGGTACCCTGGAATTGAAACTATAAAAAAAAAAAAGTTAACACTGTTCCCAAAGAAGATTTTTAAGCAGCGAAGGAGAGAGAAAAGGGAAAGGATTTGGGTTATTTTTTTTCTTTCCTTTTCCTATACTGACAGCTAAGAGACTTAAGCAAGAAATTGGAAAAAAATCCACTTTGACATTAATAGGCATTTAATGCTGAAAATAAAAAGTCAAAGGGATAATAAAGATTTCTGGATATTTAAAAGCTTTTGAAAACAGGAGAGGAGAGAAAAAGAATAAAAGGGCAGGATCTGGAAGGGAGGAGACTGCCTGGAATTAAAAAGAACTTACAGTAAAATCTCAACAAGACTTATAAAAGATACATTTTAACTGAAACATGGCAACAAAATAGTAAAACCCCAGGAAGAGAAATTGAAATTAGAAATAAGAAGAAACAGCTCGAGAGTATTTGGATTACTTGATGATCTCTGGATTCTTGGTTACTGCATTTGAATGACTAAAATAAATCGGGTGGTTGTTTAAAAGTGTCTAAAATAGCTTAGAACTGAAAATGGAGCTTAAAAAGTACAAAGAAGATGCACAAAAAGGGAGAGGTTCTTTTGGCTTCATATTTCAGTTTTTAGAAATGGAGATTTGGAACTATGAGAAACAACAAGAAATGCCTGCAGAACTCTGAATTTTTTAAACATGCCTTAGGGCAGGGATCCCCAACCTTTTCGACGCCGCGGCCCGGTTCCGGCATCAGCTGGGCGCCGCCATCTTTTTATGACGAAAAAGCGCTTCCGGTGACGTCACCGGAAGCACTTTTTCGTCAAAAAAGATGGCGGCGCCCAGCAACCAGCGGCCCGGTAAGGCTTGTTCCGCGGCCCGGTACCGGTCCGTGGACCGGCGGTTGGGGACCCCTGCCTTAGGGTTTTAATAATGGGATGGTTTGGAGGAAACATTCACACCCCAGGAATTTGTAGAACAATGCATTTATGCTTGCTAAAATACTGTCATGTTTTAAAGTAAAGGCCAGCTTCTTCTGGAATCAGTTCAAAGCTTATTAAGATGGGAGGGTTTGTTAGACTGTCAGGACCATAGCAAAAGTCCAATAATCGTCCCTGGAAAAAGCGATTGGCAGCTTGATGGATCTTAAGTCAAAGAGAATTTTTTTAGTGGATCTAAAATTCAGTTTTACATTTACACCAGCCCTTTGCCTAATTTCCAGTCTTTTCACTGCTTGACGCAGAAGCCCTGGACCACAGGGAGAGCTGTCTCGACTACAAATCCCAGAATAGGCAAACAGGATTTGAGATACTACCCGAATCTTCTGCCTGTTGTAATCACTCGATCTAGAAGGTTCAGTGGTTTTGGGGAAAGCTGATGGGGACATACTCATGACGCAGAAAAACAAAGAAGCTCCCACGCGTTAACCCATGGTTGTGCAAGCCATGGTTGAGCAAAATCACCATTAGTTCAGTTCCCACCAAGGTTAAAAGAGGCTTAACGCGTGTCACACGGCTTCCTCCAGTTTTGGCTGCCAGCCTTTCTGCGAACTGCGTGAGGCAATTTAAGAGAGACCAATCCTTGCATCATCCCTATAATGGAGAAGGGATGGAATTCCGCAGTATCGATTTTTAGCAAGCCACCGAAGCAGGCGCGAGCAACGTCACCCGCTCGCATCGTACAAAGTTGAGACCAGCCGAACAAAAAGCATCGCCAGAAATGACCAGCCCCGTTCCTTTTATCTCGCTGCCGCCGCCCAGCGATTGGTGACGGAGCAAAAGAGCAGAACAACTCATTGGGCGTTTGTCGGTAAAAACGCACCTCTGACGTTTGTTGCAGAGAACCCAATCGCCTGCTTTATGGAGGGGGTGGGGTAAAGAGCGAACGCAGGATGATCCCCTCCCCCTTATTTTTTAATGGAGTGTTTCTTAAAGCAGGGGGTCTCCAACCTTGGCAACTTTAAGACTTGTGGACTTCAACTCCCAGAATTCCTCAGTCAGCTTTGGGAGTTGAATTCTGGGAGTTGAAGTCCACAAGTCTTAAAGTTGCCAAGATGGGAAGCCCCTCTCTTAAAGGATTTCCTCCAATCGTCGAATTTTGAGAGATCACGTGGCCGAGCTTTGGCCCAATCAGAACGCGGTAGCCTCCGATTCAAACTTTCCTTCGAAAGTTCTATATGCTGTGTCCCTCGGTCACCGTGGAGACGGACCGCGGAGTTTTATATTTTCTGGGCGACCGATGGAGCCTCGACTCGTGGGCCCCGGGCCCTACCGAGCAACTCGGCTGGTGAGTAAAACACGTTTTCCGAAGGCTTTCTAAGCACTGGCTGCCTTTTTTTTTTTGTCCCTGAAAATTAGCAGGGAATGCACTCTTGTACACAGCATAGCTCCATTAATACATCACTGGTTTACTATGCAGCAGAGCGTGGTGTTAAGACTTTGAATACATTTCCAACTGTATCACATTAATTTTAAAAAGACTATTAGAAAGAACACAATTAAGACTAAGGTGTGGCCTTTCTTCCAGAAATCTTGGGAATTTTTTTTTAAATTAACACTTAAAACTTTGCCTCCAACAAATGATGATTCCAGGTACAGGTAGTCCTTGACTTATGACCACAACTGAGGCCAAAATTTTTGTTGCTAAGTGAAATATTTGTTAAGTGAATTTTGCCCCATTTTATGACCTTTTGTGCCACAGTTGTTAAGTGAATCACTGCAGTCATGAAGTTACTCACATGGTTGTTAAATGAATCTGACTTCCTCATTGACTTTGCATGTAAGAAGGTCACAAAAAGGGAACACATGATTCCAGGATGCAGCAACAGTCATAAATACGAGTCAGTTGCCAAGCATCCAAATTTTGATTACATGACTGTGAGGATACTTAAACAATCACAAATGTGAAAAACAGTTGTAAGTCACTTTTTTCAGTGCCGTTGTAACTTTGAATGAACTGTTGTAAGACGAGTACTATCTGTACTGAAACAATGGCCTTGTGCAGTATT